CATCACTAGGGTGCTCTTCATAAGCCTGAGGTCCAGGCCACATTGCCCACACATTAAATCAAGTCTGAGAACCACTGCTCTCATACCTTTCCTGGCACCAGTGTTTGAGATCAGGGGAGTAGAAGGAGGAACTGTCCCTTAGGACAGAGAGATGAGTAAGTGGAGGTATGCGGGGCACTGAGGGGACACCTCCAAAGCTGAGAAGCTGACACAGCCACTACCATGAAGAAAAGAAGCTTAGAGATCTTGTCCTTCAATAACCCAACTTCACCTTTGGGTTCTCCCTCTTCCATATAAGGGAACTACAAACTGTTGGAACCTTACAGGAACTCTAAGACCATCTATCTCATCCCGCTTCATCACACACCTGTGGAGGCTGAGGCCTGAGGAAAGACAGCGAAAGAGCGAATGGTTAGGGCCATTGCAAGTTTAATGGCAGGGCAGGATTAGAACCCATTTCTTCTAACTCTCCGTCCAAGACCTTCCAGCTGTTATATGCTGAACACAGCAACATGGCTTTGTGCTTAAGAGCACAGGCTCTGGCACAAGAGTGACTGGGTGAGAGCACCTGTTCCACGGGTTACCTGTCACACTGGGCCAGTCATCTAATTCCCTGCAGCTTCCATGTTCTCCCCTAGAAAGTGGAAATAATAATGGCATCTCCATCCAAGAGCTGTGAAGACTACAGGGAAGGACAGGAATAGCAATGCACCTAGCACAGAGCCTGGCACACAGTTCGTGTGCAATGTTAGCCATTCTTATTAAGGAAGGTCAGGGTAGCACCCTGAAGAGAGGAAAAGAAAGAATAGGTATGGTTATTTGGGCTGAGGCTGATGCTCAAAATGTTCTAGCAGCTTCAAGGTATTATTATTTTCCTTTCAAAGACTTCTCAAGTATGGGCAATTCTGAGTCAGAACCAGCTTTGACATAAGCTCTGACCTAAAGGATGTCAGAACCTCTAAGCATCCTTGCCTATCAAACTAGCTACCTATCAAATAAATAACCATGAAACTGCTCTGCATGCTGAAAAGTGCCATACAAATGAAGAGATATGTATTATTACTCTTAATGATATTGTCATCACTGTACAGTCCATCTCAGCCAGTTTGAACTTTAACATATCACTTGTAAGGCCATATTACAGAGTAGGAAACAAGGATGCAGGATAAGGTCACTTATAGAAAACCTAACATTTAGTCAGAATATTAAAATACAAAGAAAGCTGAGAAGTATGGAGGGAAAAACAAGATCAGTCTCAGCTCTGGTAGCCCCCAAAAGACTGAAACTCACTTGAAATGCCCAGTAACCAGGGAGAGATAATGGTAAGCCTAATAAAATGAGTAAGACCCTCAACCCAGACCTTACTGGGTCGGGATGTACCTTTCACAAGAGACAGTGGCATGTTTGTTGCAGAGGATTTGGTAACCACCAAAATCCTTTTCTAAAAACAGAATAAAATTCAATTTCTTATTTCTTGGATTAATCAAAATGAGTGATGAGGATAGGGTTCGGGAGTCAAGAGAGGGATTTTCTCGTTTTTGTAAATTACAGGCATTTTTAAGGTGCTTTGTTATGAGCACATTTTTTTAATTTTAGAAAAGGAAGAAAGGGGAAGAGGAAGGGAGTAAGAGAACGGTTCAAGAATTACAGGGATAGGGCACCTGGGTGGCTCAGTTGGTTAAGCGACTGCCTTCGGCTCAGGTCATGATCCTGGAGTCCCGCATCGGGCTCCCTGCTCGGCGGGGAGTCTCCTTCTCCCTCTGACCCTCTTCCCTCTCGTGCTCTCTATCTCTCATTCTCTCATTCTCTCTCTCTCAAATAAATAAATAAAATCTTTAAAAAAAAAAAAAAAGAATTACAGGAATAGAAAATCCAGTATCTATTCACGAATGCTCTATAGCAGGCTGTGGGGTTTGTGGACGACCTACCCCTGAGGAGTCAAAAAACTGGGGAAAGACATGCCTCCCCAGAGCTATCTAAGTGGATGCCCAGACAGGCTGGGCTATGGGGCAGAGGTCCCACTAAGGTCTAGTCATTGCTGTTTCCTCTCACCTGGTCAGCCCTGCTCCACCTTTCACCCCCAGCATCTGCTCAGGTCACCTAAGTTCATCTCGGCCAGATACCTAAGAAATGTAATCCTACACAGTAATCTTATCTTCCTGTTTACATTGTGTCACATTCTTGGCCTTTAAAAAAAGTAAGAGAAAAAACCCCCTACTTCAGACTCAAGGCCTTCCCTACTACATGTAGACATTGCCATCCTCAAAATTCCTTTCTTGACAGGGATCTACAGGCTAGGGTGGAAAAACATTGCCACCTCAGGTCTGTTCCTGGACACGTGCCCCTTCCTCTGACTCCTCCAGCCTTTTTTCCTCTTGCACACTGTAAGCAGCGCAAGATGTGGTGATCTGCTCTACAGTGCCCAGGTCTGGTCTAGTCTAAGCCCTTCACTCCCCACAGTGCTCAGTCCAAACAACACCCCAGGGAGGAGGTGCTGAACTGCAGTAAAAGCCAAATGGGAAAGAAAAGGACTGTGGACCGCAGAATAGGTGCTAAAGAAATCTATCTATACGGTGTAAATGATACTGCCCTGAAATGCCAATTTAGTTAAACCATAAAGGAAGATTCGCAGAGACTCCTTTCAGCAGAGGTCACTTACGTTTCTTGCATCTCTCTCAAGTACGACTACCTCTGTACCTGTATTACTCAGCAGACCTGTCAAATCTTTCCAGCTATAAAGAGCTAACAGTCTTTACCTCACCACAGAGGCAATGAGGAAATAAAACCAGAGTTTATATGAAAATGCTTTGGGAATCAATCTCTCTCTCCCCCACGCTTTCTCTCTCGCTCTCAATGCAAGGCAGTTCGCAAGCCCAGCCACCTAACTTAGAATATGATCCTGGGCTTCTGGCAAATCTTTTTAAAGTTAAACAGAAAAAGTCAAATGTTCAGTCTTTACCAGACTAAACTAATTATCACCTAAATGACACTAAATGTTCAGCTGTTTTCTATCCAGGTGTTAGGGGGAAAGAGACTGGAATTCCTTGTGAATTTTCTTGAGAGACTAACCTATCTGTCCAAGCTAATCACAGAATATGCTTTAGGATTCTATGAAAGAGAATTCTCTTAAGGTGAACTCCTTTAAAAGCAGGAAACCACCAGCTGCCCAATCTTCCTCACATTGCTGCTGGGCAGGAAAATGCAGCGGCGCACAGTACACACAGTCCCCCACGGTAAGCTATCATGAAAGTTTTCACTTCCTCTTCTGAAAATGCTCCCACCTGCAGCCTCCTATTCTCTGCCCCCACCAGACCACTACCTCCTATCTGCTAAAGGGAATGTGAGGAAAAGACTCCTCGGGGGTCACTAAAGCCCACCTCTTGAGCATCCAACCCAACGGAAAACCACCTCCATCTCCACTCCTGACAGGGCTGCTAGAAATCATGAGAGCCAAATCAGCAGGATCACAGTGAAGCCAGGACTTCCAGCTGCACAGAATTACCCTTCAGGCTTGGGGAGGACAGCTAACTACACACACCACTCTCCCTCCCTTCCCCCATCCTGTTACCTCTGCACTTGGGACGTGGCGCCAAAGGCTCAGCCTGGAATGCTGCAGGGCCTCCAGTATCTCATGGGCGAGTAAAACATCTCCCCACATAGCCCAGCTCACCCAGGCAAGGAAAGACACTTGGCTGGCTTAGAGAAAAGGCCTTCTCATACTTTCATCCTCATGTTGAACAAATGTGTCATCCTTCAAAAACAGAGATAAACCCAGACCTCTCCAAGAAAAGCCCTGAAGGAATCAAAGCCCAGGTTCTCTAGCCTGTGTGGACTGTAACCATGCTACTGTGACTCAACCCCTTCAGGCATTCAGAATTCAGTCTGGCAGCTGGAGGAGACACTGGCTGTCCTTACATCCACTTCCAAGCCAGGGCTGTGTCAGCAAGACACTACTTTCATTTAATAACAACATATAATTGAAACTTAGAATCTGTCTAAGCCTTTCTTTAATCTGAACTTCTAGTCTTCTAATTATTTTAAGAAAGATCTGAATATCTGCTATTGTAGGATCTTCCCATTTCCTAAATTTATCCTTTCAGCTGCTAAGGATCACCTAATGGATTTAAAGAACAAGTTTGTATCCTTCCTAAGCAAAATGAAGAAAAACACAACAAAACAACCCTCATCTCTTCAGTCTAACCCAAACAGCAGCCCCACCTTGCCCTGGACATTTCATAAAATGGAAAAACACGGGACTGAGCGTCAAGGCGTGTACTCTAAGACTAGCTCTGCCGCAAACCACTCTGTGACCCCGAGCTCGTGGCTGCACTTTTCTGGGTCTCAGCTGCTTCTCTGAAATAACACAGGAAAGCTGGATTCACGATGCTAGGTAGCCCCGACTCTTAGAGTTCCCTTCCTTTCCAGGAACTTTCAGCTACATGTTCAAGGCACAGCCGCCTGTTTAAGATGCCATGCACCCAGTTCCTATTAAAATTCCAATGAATTATCCACAAATAGTTTATGTTCACCCTGCACATCGTATTTTTCCAAATCCTGCTGGCCCGCTGGAGAGACCTATGTAATAATATTTGTAAGGCACGATTTGTTCTAAGAGATTTACATAGGTTGAACCATATGAAGCTGCCAACATTCAAACATTTTTACCACACGGAAACAGCAATTTCCTATGGTTTGAACCACCACATTAACTTACTTATTCCTCCTTATAATCCCCATGAGGCAGGTTTTACAAATGAGGAAACAGGAGCACTTTAAAGAAGTTAATAACTTGCCACAGTCACATACATAGCTAAGAGATGATAGGGTTTGGATTTAAACCTGGGCAGCTGAGCTCCTGAGCCTGTGGTCCTACCCTAATGTTATATTATATGGCCTCCCGTAATGGGAATAAGAACAGCTTGAAGACTGGGAGTCCAGACCAAGGTAATGTCTCAGAAGGAGAGGGAGAGGCTCGCACTGCAGCCTCTGTTGGGTTGTACCTTTCACTTCAATGGTGGCATTTGCTTTAGGAGCACTGACAAAGTGATATACACAGTGGTATTCGCCTGAATCCTCAGCTCTCGGCTTATTGATCCTGCAGGGATGAGAAAAAAAAAAAAAATCAAGTGAGGAAGCAGGGAACAAACATACGACAAAATATACAACAAAAGAATCAAAAGGGCAACCAGGGACTCTGCTCTCCAAACCGTGTCCCTGAATGCAACTCACCTCCTCCTAACTAAAAGCAAAAACCTCCCTTTATGTATTACAAAACATTAATGCTTCACTCCTTACTGGATGTCTGGAATACAAAGATGGAATGATACATGGTCTCTCACCTTAAACAAGTAATCAAAATAGAGGGCTGTACAAAACAGACTATATTTAGATACAGAGGATGGAGCCATCAATAAAAACTTCTTGCTCACCTGGTGGTTCTAGTCGAATAAGTAAGAGCAGGAAAAAAAGCAAATCTTCTGTGCTTCCCTAAAGACCCTGTTTTCGTCTTGTTCTTCCCACACTGTATTTCAGTAGCATGCCTTTCAGTAAGTCTACTCACTAACAGGACCAAAGAGATAGTGGAGAGAGAAAAAATCTCTGACATCAGAGCACCAGCCACAAAGATGCAACTAAATTTTTAAGACTTTTAAGTACAGGGATGCCTGGGTGGCTCAGTCGGTTAAATGTCTGCCTTTGGCTCAGTTCATGATCCCAGAGTCCTGAGATCTAGTCCAGCATCAGGCTCCTTGCTCAGCAGGGAGCCTGCTTCTCCCTCTGCCTGCCGCTCCCCCTGCTTGTGCGCGTGTTCTCTGACAAATAAATAAAAACTTAAAAAAAAAAAAAAAAGACTTTTAAATATAGCTAGAACTCTAAGGCCCTGCATGATCTGCTTCCTACCCTCATCTCAGCCACTTTCTAGCCCTGCTGGGCTCTTCTCAGTTTTTCAATGTTTTTCCTCAAAACCTTGACATGAGAGGTTCCTTTACAGAGAATGCTCTTCCCATTACCCTTACCTTAACCTAACTCTTTCTGCATCAGTCTTGGCTCACACCACTTCTTTCTACCCTCAATCTAAGTGACAGCCCCCCTCCCTGACATTCTTGCTTATTCTACACTGTAATTCTTCACAAGCATTCATCGCAACGTGTAATTATATACTTATGTGATTGCTTGATGAATGTCCCAGTTTCCCAAAAGACCAAGTTCTATGTGGACAGGCACTGTTTATTTGGTGCATAATTCTATACCCAGCACGTGGCCTGGCCTGGAATATAGCAGGGGTAATGAATAAACGAGTAAATGACTGAATGAATGTAAACTGAGAGTGAACAGCTGTGCAGAGATCCTGATCAAGTAAAGCAGAGTGACAAGAAGGACTATAGGAAGTGTGTATGGCTAGAACAGCACTCCTCTGAACTCCACAGGGTGATCCTAAACAAGCTTTCTTGCCCCTGACAACCAGTTTCACACCAGCTCAGTACACTTTGGCCTAGACACACACCCCAAAACATATGCAGACAGGCTGGTGTGTAATTACCAAAAAGAGAGAAATCCACATAAGAGGAAAACCATTATTTAGCTTCTCCTCTTTTGGCTCAGTGGTTAAAACATACTTGTGATGGTCACATCTCCATTGCACTAGTTAATGTCTGAGAAAAACCCCTAACCTTGACCACTGACTGGCCCAATATATTTACCCATCTTACTGTTCATCCCAAGAAAGAAACACGGGTTTCTTTCAGACTATGGATGAGGAGAGAGACAGCCCATCCCTGGGACTGTCTCAGCATGCCCACAGAATATTCTAAAAGGAACAGCCAAAAGTCTTCTAAATTTGATACAAGTAGCTCTTAAATCAATACACTCCCAACAGGGAAAACAGACACAAGTCAGCTGCTCTTAGCAAATGTTCCAGAGTTCGGAGGAGGGGCAGCAGCTGTATCTTTAGGGCTCAGACTAACTCCTTTTAAGTTCCTTGAAAAGATTTGGAAAGAGGACTCCCAAGCTTGAGCCCATGCCTATGGGCTCAAAATCTCCCCCATGACATTCCCTTCAACTAGCTATTGGGAAGCAACTGAAGCAAATGGAAAACATCCCCTATAGCCGAGCAGGTGCAGGATGAGACTGGCTCCATAGCTGACTTAATAGGTAGCCCAAGGGACGCATCAGCTGTTCTTTCACAAAATGTGGGAGAACAGAGATTCCCTGAAAAACTCTGACAATGCAGAACACCCCTAGAGAGCTGCTAATAAGCTGACCAAAAAAAAGAAAGAAGAAGAAGAGGAGGAAGAGGCAGTATTTTATAAAGTCAAGCTCAAATTTATTAAGTTACAGTTCAAAGCCCTATAGGTGACATAGTACAAGTCCTAGGAGAAACACAATTGAATGCCTGGTACCTTGAAAGAGTTATTATAAAAATATAAACTTGTAAAACTAACGAACAGACCCAAGAATATATGCCTTTCATTCCACCCAATAGTTCGATGTGATTAACCTTTTCCAAACTATGAGAATATAGCTGAGGTTATGTTTCCAATTTAACATGAGAAGAAACTACAGTGGAGATAGATTAACTTGTCACTAAAATGGTATGTTAAAGCAGGTGGGGGAAAGACCTAGCTTCTAGAAAGTCAAAAGACCTGGAACCTAGCCTTACTTCTGAAATTTACCAGATACAATATTTTGGCCTTGAAAACAGTGAAGAATTATTACTCTGAGTTTCCGTTTCTTTGCTTGAAAAAAGGAGGATCCTTAATGTGGGTCAATTAAATAAGGGGTATGAAAAGATCTCAATCTTGCAAAATATTGCAGAATGTCCTTGCTACTACTGGGCACACAGGTTTTCCTGGTCTCACTCCAGTGCATTCTTTCTTTGCACTGCAAAGCTGACAAACATCATTAGCCGATCCTTTTCCAAATTAGTTTTCAACCACAAACAAACAATTCTGAAAGGTGAGGTGCCATGTGTTCTAGATATTCCAAAAAAGTACCAAAGCTTTGGTGCCAGGTTAGCTTCAGCCAGCAAATATACCCCTTTCATCAAATGATGTTTCCAGGTTACTATCCTTAATCCAGATCACTAAAGAGCCCCGTATCCAATGGTCTTGATCCGGTTCTGGTCCTATTAATTACTCCTAAAAGGTAACTCACTAGGAAATCTACCCAGTGGAAAGATCACTTAGGGTGCTCTTGCTCTAAGAGTCCTAAAGCAGATTTCAATCTCATTCCTCAAACCACTGGATTAAGTCAAGAGACATGCATTCTAATTGTGACTTTCCTACTGACGAGCATGGTTACTCTGAGCAAACTACTCCCTATGCCCTCCGTTTCTCTATTATCATAGTGAGGGGAACATCTATGACTCTCAAACCTGGCTGTTCATTAGAATCCTCTGGAAATCTTTACTAGATCCCTGGGCCTCACCCCAGACATACTGGATTAGACTCTCCGGAGAAGGACCATATATATATATCTTATGTGTCTCCCACATAACAGAATTGTGGATTATGAACGTCCATAGTAAGTTCAGCAATGCTCCCTCCCATCTTCCCAGGAGCTGCTAGTCCCTCTCACCTGTATTCCATGTTGCTGGCATTCTTGCGAGTGGCAGTCAGTTCGACCCCATTCTTTGTCCAGTAGCTATATGTAAGAGTGTGAGAGCTGGAGGTGAGGTTACACTGCAGGGTGATGGGGAGAACAGGGCTGTCTCGAAGAATGACCTCTTCACTGGTGACAATCCTTGGCTCTGTAATAAGAGTGCACAGTGATAGGGAACCATAGCCTTCCATTCTCTGTAGCCCTGGCCTGAGAACTGGATGGGGTAGGATGGGGAGACTAGAAGAAGAGGGAGGGCAGACAGGACCACATGAGGAATTTCACTTTACCACTTTGGAGGAAGTCAAGAAAGGAAAAACAATGATTATAAGCAAATGACCACTAGCGCAGACAACAGCCTGAAGACCAGTTGGCCTAGACGTGAAAAGAATGGGAGTATTACAGGTACTTGTACTGGCAACAATCCACTTACACTTTTGACCACCACAGTTTTATGATTTAAGAACCACCAACCAATTCAGCTTCAATTAGAAAATCAGGCTCCACCTTGCAGTTCTGAAGACAAAGGCAATATCATTTATGTAACTAATAAACTCCCTATGGAGTCACTAAGCCTTGGAACAGTAATAGCTATAATTAGATAATACATGTATGGCTTTTCCCACATTAAATTCTGATAAACCTATGGCAAACCAGCCATGGTCATTAATTATGCAGAAAAAGACAGTGTCGATCCTAACAGCAAATTTCCTGCCAGTAGTCTGTTGCATTTTCCAAATTTTACCAAGGGAAAATTCTTAAGGAACCATCACAGTTCTTCTCTCCAGCCCGTATTTATTCCGAAAACAAAACTTTTTCAGAACTGCTAAGTAAAACACATTCCACTGTGCAGATAATATAACTAGAATGCGATATGTGTTGGTATCATGTGTTCCTAGTGTTTTAGAGCTAAAAGGCCCTTAGAGTTTACTGAATCCCCACTCTTTAAGAGCTAGAAATGGAAAATGACTTGTGCAAGTCATGACTTAATGGCAACGCTGGGCCTAGAACACACATCTAACTGAATTCTCTAGCTCTGCCTCCCTTCCCCACCTCCAACCCCCCTTCCCCCCACCCCGCCACTTTCCGCCCTACAGCAAGTTACATAATTCATCTTCTGGTTCTCTCCTGGGCTTAGATAACCTGGGGTCATTATTTTAGAACCTACAAAAATAACCTGCTTGACTCAAATATTAGAACACATTGAGCAGAAATGTTTTAAGGCACACACTAGCATTCCTGGAAGGTTCATCCTTAAAGCCCTTTGAATTCCACCACTATATTAAAGTCAAAATGTTTGCCGTCTTGTTGTTATCGTTACTTCTAACCTTTTCCCAAGCTTAGCTGTTATTCTACTTTTGGTCAGACATTTTCAGGTGAAGTCTAAACTTTTCCCAATCACAATTAGAGGTATTTCCTCTTTTATTCTTTTTCCAACTGTTTCTCAGAAATTCTTGACTAATTTCCCATTTCCCTGCACCTGGCAACTCTGTAGCAGCAACCTGACACCATTTTATGTAGTACGGTGCTGACTCTTAACTCTTGAGGACAGAACTCTCTCCCTCCACTGGAGCTAAGCTTTGTTCCCTGTGCAGGGAGGGGGACAGAATGGAGAAGTCATGGGACACTTGCAAAATATAATGCCCAAGGACCTCCTAATTAATGCAACATTTCTGACTGTAGAGCTCATATCAAAGAAAACTGACAAATAAAGCAAATCCTCAAGTCTGTTCAATTAAAGGGGTTCTCACTATTTTCCAATTCTGGCAAAGGGATAGTGCTTATCTTCCATTCAGCACTGGTCCTTACTGGTAACATCAAACAGGGTCTCTATGTACAGATAATGGAGGCATAGCAGCCACTAAGACAAAAGCAGATGCATGGAAACACGTTAGCGCAGTGGTGTCCCATGGTTTCCAAAACACACTGGACAGAAGCCAAATCCCTGGGCCTTAAGTCGAGCAGAACGGCTGCAAACCCTGCAATGGAAGGCGCACACACACCATCAGCAGAAAGCACCACAATTCCAAGAAAAATCAAAACCAAGCAAAAACAAAAGAGAGAACCAGTACTCCACAGAAATTAAAAATATAAAGGCAACATCAAAACCCAAACACACTTTTAGCTTTTTACTAACTTTTTATTATCCAATTTTACTTTCTGTCCCATGTGGGACTCTCCTGGTTCTTCTTCTCAGACTGCACTGAGAAATGGTAAACTCTGAGGACGAGGCCAAGAGCTTCCAGATGTTTCAACACAAGGAGGCCAAAGTAAGTGCTACTCTTACCTGTGACGATGCAAATGCTCACTGCAGCTCAGGGAGATCAAGAAGGTGATGAGAGCAACCTGCAGACTTTCTGCCAAGAATTCTTGGAAGGCAAAGGAAAGCACTTTTTCCCTTACGTGTTAAAGATCCAGGAGAGAGTCAGCTGGGAGCAAGTGGATAATTTAAATAGGTTTAAATAGGATTCTGCACCATAGGCGGGCTGTGGGGTAGGGTAGCCTCCCTCCAATGATTGCTGTATATGGAAACCCATGCTAAACCAAGCTCCTTGGCCAGGATGAAGGTGGAGCTTTTCTCTCTGTGGTTTAGCACTGCGCATGAAGATCCAGGAGAGAGGAACATTTAGGAGAAGCCCAGAAATGTTTACCTGCCACTGACTCCTATTTAGAAACAGTGGATGGGAGACCCTTACCCTCACCATCACTCATGTGTAGAAGAACATGCTATGGCCAGGGAGATACCCTAAAAACTGGGCATATTTCTCTGTCTGCCTTACCTTACTCAAGGAGTTTTGGGGAAAGTACTGTCAAGAAGTCATTCTTAGGGGTGCCTGAGTGGCTCAGTCGGTTAAGCGTCTGCCTTCGGCTCAGGTCATGATCTCAGGGTCCTGGGATCGAGCCCCACACATCAGGCTCCCTCTCTCTCTGACCCTCCTCCCCGCTTGTGCCCAATCTCTGCCTCAAATTAAAAAAAAAAAAAAAAGTCATCCTTAGAAGACTTCAACCTCCTCCTGGAGGCAAATGTCCTTGCTAAGACCACAAAACAATCCAATTAGAGTGAATTCAGGGTATTTTTTAGAAGTAGCAGCAGCAGCTTGGCTCTCTAAAACAGTTAACTAGGGTTAACTGACTGAGGACGTCTGGGACGAGACTGAACTGGCCAGGGTTTGGTTTAACCACATGCAGACACTTCTGAGTTAGGAAGTTTATTTCCAAGTAAACTGGGGAAATATTATGTAGTACCCCCAAAGACTCATCTTCTTCTGGCCCCAAGGCATGACCTTTTAACTCTGAGTCTACCTGAGTCAAGCTCCTGGGAAGTACAAGTACCAAATGCCCAGCCCAGTCCATGCCTACAAACTTCTGCAGATTTCTGTGGCCATATGGGTAATTCTGCTTTTATAAGGAAAGGAGCAGGGGGGCAGGGGAAGGAAGCGTGCAAGGGAAAAATTGTTAAAGGAAAATTGCTGGGTTAATAGTCCCCATTTTCACATAGACAGGTTTTCTTTTCCCCTTTCCAGAAGCAGGTTCTCTGATTGAACAGTGCCAGCTGCAGCAGCCTCTCCTATCTCTCCCCTAAGGCCTCTCCTCTTCATAAGCATCTTCTAAGGTACCATACCGAACAGACGACTAACCTGCTATCTTCCATATAAGTTTACAGATTCAGGGCTCATGTCCTATTATTTCCTGTGTTATTACCAAATTCCTCATAAATGTGTTTTTACTATTTTTACTTACTCTTTCTAAATCAATCAGTTCCTTAAGCCAGATCTGGCTATAAGTCTGAGTTCTTGAAGAGAAGGTGAAAACCCAAAGAATCTTTCCATTAAGTAGAGTATGCTCCCTCAAGTATAATCAGGTCAGATGTGGGACTAGAACTAACTCTTCCTGGCCAGGGGCACTAGCTCACTGGTGGCTTCTCCCTCCTTCTTCTTCCCACTGTACAAGTAGCAAGACACTTTTCAGAAAGAGAGGTGGCCACAAGAGCTCCTGTATCTAATGTCTTACTTGTACCTGCTACAACAGAGGAAGGGAAGAATTCTGAGCTCACTGCTTAGCTCTCCCTCATCACTTAGTTGGAATTTAGTTTCTTCTTTTTTCAAAATACAAGAAAAGGCCAGTGTGAATGGCTTCCAAACTACTTCTGGGGTTGCCAGGGGATGAGGAGCACTGGGCCAACAGTCAGTATCAAAGTCAAACTATCTGTAAACAGGAAGCAGATGCAACTCTGACTTTGAAACAGCATGGTGGGGTTTTAAAAAAAATACTTTGCAGTTTAGTGTCACCTGGTGCCTAATAGCAAGACATACGGAGAAAATCTCAGGCTGCTGCTTTTGACAGAACAGGAGCCTGGATGGGCAGGACCAGTAAGGAGTGTACTGCTGTAGTGGAGGGCTGTTATCAGAGAAGCACGTGCCACTGTTTTAGAAAAGAAAAAGAGCTGGAACTATGGAAATATCCAAGCTTACATGCCACCCAACAACCAAAACACACCACCACACCGCACCTATGGCGACATTCCCATCGCAGAACAGGATGACACCAAGTCACAGTGAGGGAAGAAGCTGGGCAGACACAAACTTAAAACCATAGAGGTGAAGGCAGCTACTCAGAGAGCTTCAAACAGATGAACAGAAGAAATAAAAAGTAGTTAGATTGGGGAGAGAAACAAAAATAAAAAGGCACCAGAGAATAAATCAGCAAAAGGATAGCAGGAAAACCTACTACAGAATTAAAGGGGAGGGAAAGAAACAATTCACCACTACCCTGGTTTAACTGCCTGGTATTTTGAGTTTTAAGTGGTTTTTTGAGCCCCCCCCCCAGTTGTCCCTCCCCACCTCTTCCCACTGCAGATGATTTTGGACAGGCACGGATTTCCCCAAGTTCTTTGTTCCTGAGGAGAAAGACACAGAGAAGGGGTGGGGGATAAGGGAGGCAGAGAGGACGGCAAAGAAAAAAAAAAAGTTGCCACAGATGTTTTCATACACTACAACCAGAAGGGTCGTGGGTTTGAAAAAACGAAGACAATGGGAGGGGTGAGCGATCATACTGGGGAAGAGGGAAAGGAAGCAGAAGGGAAGGGTCATCGGGCCACCTCTAATGACTACAGTACTACTACTGTAGGGTGCTGGACTCACTCTGAAGGACGCTTATGGTGGCCTGGGCTCGAATCCATGTTATGGAGGGGTTTTGCCTCAAGTCATTCCTCTTGGGGTCGTTGCTGGCCCTGCACTCGTAAGTCCCAGAGTCCTCCAAGGTGAGCCGGGTTATTCTCAGCACACTCACGCCGTTTGACCCGTAGGCGGTGTTTACGGTGACACGGCGCTTCCGAGCACCGTCCCACAGCTGTCTGAAAGACTCTGCCCGGTTGACTTCTGCGTACCACCACTGGATCTCTGGCGTGGGGCTCCCGACCACGTCACAGTACAGCTCAAAGGCGTCCCCAGTGAGCTTAGTTTCTGACATGGGCGACTTGACAAACCCAGCTAGAGGGAGGGGGAGCAGGAATGCAGTGACAGGCCAATCAGAAAAAAAAAAAAAAAGAATCAACAGGTGTTAATAGTAATTTAAAGAAAAGAAAAGAAAAAAGCAAATGAGTTGCAAAGAACAAAAAGGATTCATTTTTAAACTATAAAGAGACAGTAAATAGCATTTCATATAAGCTTTTAGAAGAAGAACCACCCTGGGAAGCTTATGAAGCAAAGGCAGGCTAATTACAAGCTGGGGCGGCCCAGGTGCTAGCCAGGCAGAAGCAAGCCCACTGGAAAGCGTTTCAGCAACGGGCCCAGTTGGTAGGAATGAGAAAGCCTCAGGTCTCAGGGAAGAGTCTTTTTCCTTAGAGCACAAACCATTACCTTTTCAAATTGAGGCAAGCAATGAAAGATAACCGCAAGCAGCAGTAGTTCTATATGCCAAGTCAGGATCTCTCTTTTGGATGGGTGAACACTTCGTTAGAGATGCAATGTCTTTTGTGGGCCTCAACAAGAAATATTAACTGACCTAATGGCGCCTTCTCTTGGGAATCAAAGTCCAAATTTCAACCGAAAAGGCAGCATATTTCTCTCCTGTGCAGGAGTCCATCCTGAGTTTGGGATGGACGTCCCCCCACATCCTGCTCTCCCCTGGGTCTTTGGCAAACAAACGGCCCAGCTAGCTGTGACTAGGTAGCCTCTACCTGAATGCAGACTTTCAGGCACAAGAAAACAAGACAGCCTGTACTTCAGGGTGAGAATTACTATGGGTGTCAGCTCAGCAGTAGAACCAATAGCAACGGCAATCCAGCTCATTGCCAATAGAGGGACTATGCCTTCCACAATTCCATGAGTTCATACAACTAGAGAACTCTCCTGAAAAGTCAGTCTTAAAAATAACCATGGTACTTGACAGGCTCTGTCTAGTTTACCTGCCTAGCCCCCAGAGGCCAGCTCATAAAGAATAAGAAATATGTAATGATGAATTAAATTCTATGGTGAAGGCTAGGCCTCAACAATATTGCCAGCCATTGTTCAGGAATTAAAGTTGATGCCTACCTCCACTTGTCCATAATTTGCTTTAGGTTACACTCCCATAAGACAAGGTGGCAATGGCAGAAAGAGAGTAGAAAATCCAGACTTAATTGAAGAACTTGGGAGTAGGATCTATAATAAACTAAATCACAGCGCAAGCATACTCTCTCTCACCCATTTACTCCACCTAGGGTTCTTCAGCACTTCTACCAATTCAGGCAGTATCCCAAGGTACATGGCAAGAGCGGCTGGTCAATTTCTCTGGGGACCAAGCTGACCCCTCTGGAGTGAGCAGAGTGGGGCCAGGATCTACCAACATCAGATTAAAAACATTCCAAAGGAAAGGTATAAATTAAATGGAACAGCTTTCCTACAGTCCAGAAGCCAAGGATATAAAGGAGCTGGCTGAAAATGGAGGTTACTAAGTGGAGAATTTTCTGTTTATATCCACAGAAGTACTTGCCTTTGGAAATAAATTCCATCCCATGGACCTGAGAACCCTAAGAGAGGTACTATACTTACTTAAGTAAAGGACAAGACCTCCAAATTCATACTAGTCTTTCAATTCATAAAACACTGAGAATCTGGGGAGGACAGGAATCCAGTAATTAACAGCCTCAGACTAAATGTTCTGCCTTGAAAATACTATTCTAAACTACCTCTTCAGATCCTGTCAGTTCCTTGTAAGGAACCATCTACCAGAGGCCCCAAGAAGCCAAAAAGATGTCACTCTCAGATGCAGGGGAAGTTTCAGAATTTCAGAAAGGAGACACCAATCCCCAGTAATGAAAAGCTGAGCTCACTTCCAGGTAAGTGGTAATCAAGGAGCCATGTCTTAATTTCACGAACTGCCACCTGCCCACCCGTCAAAGTCAATGCCAACTAATATAGAAGGACAGGTAAAGGAAGCTGGTTCCATTCATTTTACTACTGGTTTAATCACCATGGAAAACTGGTTATCAGTAAATCCCTAGGAAGCAGTAAAGAGCAGTACTCTGTTCTAATCACACTCTCAATCATTAAGTGTAAATTACAAGAGCTCTTATTCTCACACTTTCTGTGAACTGGGGGAGTTTATGTCTTCTCAAACACTGTGATTATGCACACTGTCCTCGACTTATGATGGGGTTACATCCTGATAAAGCCATTGTAAGTTAAATTATTTCTAAAGTCGAAAATGCATTTAATACACCTAACCTACAGAACGTCACAGCTTAGTCTAGCCTACCTTAAACATGCTCGGGGCACTTACACAGGCCTACGGTTGGGCAAAATCATGTAACAAAACAACTACTTTAGAAGTGTTGAATATCTCAATTTATTGAATGTTAAACTGAGAATGAAAAACAGAATGGCTGTATGAGTCCAGAACAGTTTTGTCTATTGGTTGTTTACCCTCGGGAAAGCCTGGCTGACTGGGAGCTGCAGCTCACTGCTGCGGCCCGCAACCATGAGGGAGAAAGGGTCTGCGAAAAGATCAATATTCAAAATTCAAAATATGGTGTCTATTGAATATGTATCACTTTTGCACCATCATAAAGTTGAAAAGTTTTAAGTTGAACCACAGTAAATCAGGGACCATCTACTTGATCACCCTCTAGAAACCTGTTATTGGGTTTGTTTTGTATTTTGTCCCCTTCTGAAATGCAGGCTGACATTTAAGCCTCTTTATCAATCTACTGACTATGCTAATGTAAAAGGAATGCCTGCAAGTATGTCCAGAACCCCAAGAACCCAACCAATTCCAGTGTAATCTCAAATCCCAACGCTACACAATTCAAAGGTAGCTGAGAAACAGCCTGAACACAATTCCCACTGCACAGAACCAAGCAAGTCACTCAACCTGACACTACCACCCCTGGGCAAGACTCACTACTAAGGAGGAAGGAATGCTGATCTGATTTAGTTTAATTTTCTACCTGCACACAGGAAAATAGGACTAAGTCAAAAATAAATGTTCTTTGAATTAGTAAATTATATGGCATATATTTAAACAAACATCTAAAAACAAGATTTAAAATCCCTTAAAACACTAACAACGGACATCTATGTGTTCTTTGAAAGCTATTATTATTTATTATTAGCCATGTGCACCAACAGGTAACATTTTCTAAGTATGTGTTATGTGTTAAGAGACAATGTGCTAATAAGCACTTTGTGTTACCTCATTTAATCCTCACAACAGTCCTATAAGATAGGTGCCACCATAACACCCTTAAAGATGGAAACTAAGGCCCAAAAAAGTTAAGTACTTTGCCCACAGTCACAAGCTAATAGTGAAAGAGTCTGGCCTGAAATCCAGGTGTGTCCAAAGCCAAAGCATGGTCTCCTAATAACTTTGCACAACTGTGGTCAATATCCCTTACTAAAATAGAAAAAGTTTTTAAAAACTAAGGATTTTTTTTGTCACCACTTAAATGTAATTAATAATTTCTGACTACAAAAACAAGGTCCTGTCCATTGGAATGTGCAGCACACTGTGGTCACTAACTCCTTAAAATTATAATCCTAGTAAAGAATGGAGATAGAGAAGCATTGGATCAAAGAGTTCCCCAAGCAAGGGGTGTGTGCGTGTGCGTGTATTGGGGGACAGAGGGGAAAAGTGAGAAAACAAAACAAAAGATGGTTCAAAAGCAAGACTGCCCCTTAGTTCTGATGATTTCATCACCCTGCTCTTGAGAAGGCTGGCTTCATAGAAGGGAAGAGTTTAAAAACATTAGATGCATTTCTCTGATACTGTGGTCAGTGGGCAAATTAACAAAGGGCAGTACCTAAAATTTTTATAAAACTTAACAGTTTACAAAGTGCTTCCATGCACATCACATCGCATTTCATTCACATAGTTTCACAAGGTTCATAGGGCAGGCACAGAGAGAGGTTCATAACTTGCCCAAGACGGCTCAGGTAGCTAATCTTGAGCAGAGATGGGATCAGAATGCAGGTCTTCAGCAATTAGTCTACTGTTCTTCCCATTAAACTGTACTGCCTCTAACCAAACCAAGCACAGGATTCCTTGATAGCTGAACATGCATCAAAAAACCATGAAAACAGATCTATTTCTCCTCCTAGAAGCAGGGAAAAGAAAAAACAAAAAACCTCTCTACACAGTATCGTGAAATCACAATTAGCAAAGGAAAGTTATTAGCAATCATCTACCTCATTATCCATCCAAAATTAGCTACAGTTCAGGAGAAGAGAAGAGCCAGCTTGCAGCAGCAGCAGCAGCAGCAGCAGGAAGAGGCAGACAGCTCAGAGCCTGACTCACTGCCCTGCCTTTCATCACCAAGGGCTCTCAGTCAAGTATGTGCCCTCAACATAAGAGGACACAACTGCCTGAAGTTGGGAGGCCAGCAGAAGGATCTGTTTGATCTCCAGGTCAAAGCCCATCCAATATTTTGGAAAAAGCCAAAATTTCTGAAAAAGAGCCTCCTACCCTACCCCTTCCCCACCATCATCTCTACCCACTGTAACATGTAATGAGGCTCAGATCTCAAACAGGTTTGAGAAAGTGCATTCGGTTCAACAATGATAAAGGAAGCCGAAAGGTGGTCACAGGTTTGGGGGAAGGGAGAGACTAGAAGCTGGGGTTGGAGGAGGACAGCAAGCACAGTACAAAAAAATGACAGTAAAACCGGGAAAGCAGTAATGTAAAATTGCATAACTGGGGATGGGGGATGGGAAGCGAAGATGACAGCTGGGGCTAGCAGCCGGAGAAAAGGAGGAGCTCTCTGGCAGGAAAAACTGGATGTGTAGATATGTAGCAGCGGGTGAGAAGAAAAAGGGAACACAGAAGAGCAAGTTGAGCCCAATCCCAAGAAAACCGCTTTTACATATGCCCCAAGGAAGCAAAAAAGCTAACCTAAGTCCCACACAGGACCTGAGACCATCAATGATTTTTACAGCTGAAATTCTCACGTACCTCCAGGGCAAGCTCTGAACAGGTAACAAGACTAACTTCTCTCCCCCTCTCTCTCTCTCAG